GCTTAGGTTTCTGGTTCACTGATCCCTCCTGCTTGCTGTCCACGTCCACACAGCCCCCAAAAGCACAGTCTGAGTGGGCTCTGGCCTCATCCATCTGGAGGGGAACCCAACTTTCCCGCTCAGGAAAGACCACCCCCCAACTCCAGAGTTCTCAGGTCTGATGGCAGCCTGACTCCCATCTTCCCAGCTCCCACCTGCCAGTTCACACCTGCCCAGTTTGCCTGGCTCACACCTGCCAGCCCACACCGACTGGTTCACACCAGCCAGTTCACACCTGCCAGTCCACACCTGCCTGCTAACACCTGCCAGTCCACACCTGCTGGTTCACACCAGCCAGGTCACACCTGTTGGCCCACACCTGCCAGTCCACATCTGCCTGCTCACACTTGCCAGCCCACACCTGCCTGCTCACACCTGCCAGTCCACATCAGCTGGTTCACACCAGCTGGTTCACACCAGCTGGTTCACACCAGCCGGTTCACACCTGTCAGCTCACACCTGCCAGTTCGCACCTGCTGGCTCACACCTACCAGTCCACACCTACCAGTCCACACCTGCTGGTTCACACCAGCTGGTTCACACCAGCCAGTCCACACCTGCCAGTCCACACCTGCCTGCTAACACCTGCCAGTCCACACCTGCTGGTTCGCACCAGCTGGTTCACACCATACGGTTCACACCTGTCAGCTCACACCTGCCAGTTCACACCTGTTGGCTCACACCTGCCAGTCCACATCTACCTGCTCACACTTGCCAGCCCACACCTGCCCGCTCACACCTGCCAGTCCACACCTGCTGGTTCACACCAGCTGGTTCACACCAGCCGGTTCACACCTGTCAGCTCACACCTGCCAGTTTACATCTGTTGGCTCACACCTGCCAGTCCACACCTGCCGGTTCACACCTACCAGTCCACACCTGCCCGCTCACACCTGCCAGTTCGCACCTGCTGGCTCACACCTACCAGTCCACACCTGCTGGTTCACACCTACCAGTCCACACCTGCTGGTTCACACCAGCTGGTTCACACCAGCCAGTTCACACCTGCCAGTCCACACCTGCCTGCTAACACCTGCCAGTCCACACCTGTTGGTTCACACCAGCTGGTTCACACCATACGGTTCACACCTGTCAGCTCACACCTGCCAGTTCACACCTGTTGGCTCACACCTGCCAGTCCACATCTACCTGCTCACACTTGCCAGCCCACACCTGCCCGCTCACACCTGCCAGTCCACACCTGCTGGTTCACACCAGCTGGTTCACACCAGCCGGTTCACACCTGTCAGCTCACACCTGCCAGTTTACATCTGTCGGCTCACACCTGCCAGTCCACACCTGCCGGTTCACACCTGCCCGCTCACACCTGCCAGTTCGCACCTGCTGGCTCACACCTACCGGCTCACATTGATGCAACAGTCTTCTGCCCCCTGGGCTCCTTAGGCAGCACTTTTGCTTAAAAGCGTCTCTCCGCTCCCTGCATCCCTCCAGCCCCCCACTCCCGGCCCCACTTCACAGAACCCCAGCGCCAGCCAGCAGGAACGGAGTCTGCTCCCGCCTGCCTCTCGCACAAGTGAGCCCGTCACGCTGGGATGGGGGTCCTTGCTCTCCTCCCCCACTGTGGCCTTGGGGCTGGTCTCGGGTGCTCTCCACACGTTATCTGTGCAATGAATGAACTGAGAATGAGTTGCAGCCCCAAGGGCAGGGGGGAGGGGGAGGTTCGGCATGAGGTGACGGTGGAAATTGCTGGGCCCAGACTCAGGCACCGGAAGCAGGGGCTGAGCCCATGACTGTGTTTGATGGAAAAAGAGAAAAATCCCAGCTCTGAATCTGTGCTGACGGTGAACCAAATGCCACCCACCCACCTCTGCTTGACCTTTCTGGAAGAAGCCTGTGAATCGAGCAGTGAGTCAGAGAGGAGTCAGGCTCTGTGCTGGGGCCCCCACAATGGGCACACCAGGCTCAGCACGGCCGGGAACATGACCAGCTCTGGTGCCCACGGCCAGCGACTCAGCCCTGGCCCGCCCGCCGCCGCCGGAAGTTCAGAGACGAGGCATTTCTCCACATCGCCACTGGGTGGCAGCACCCGCCCAGGAATACGGGGGGCTGCAGGCGCAGGACCCCTTTTGGGATTGAATTTGAGGTTCTTGGAGACCCAGATCCAAGGAAGGATGAGACTGGCCTGGGGTCACACGGATTTTCAGCAGCGGGACCCTGCCAGTGAGGGGGATCATCTGCTTGCCGGGGGACACTCAGAGGGGCCCGGTGGGGAAGAAGTTGCCACAGGCAAGTGCTCCAGGAAGGACGCCACGGTGGGTGGCCGTGTCTCTCCTTGCCCCTGGCCTGGCCTCCCTCCCCCACCACAGTGAGCCCGAGACTTGGGGACTGTGCCTCGCACCTTGTCACCTTCGCCAGCTTTGCCCTGCGTCACCGCATCCCCCACTTCTAGGATCTCCTTCAACCCTCCCTGGAGATGACACTTCCTCCAGGAAGTCTGCCCAAGCATCTGGCCACAGAATTACACCACGGGGGCCCCCTTCCTGCCTGGGGAGATTGGGGGTGGATCTGAAGGGCTCCCAGCTGAAGAGACACCCCACACTCTGTGATCCACATGCCAGACTCCTCCTCACAGTGCCCTGTGAACACAGCCTACACCCCTGCCTCAGACTGAGCCTTGGTCACTCCAGTCATGTTCCAGGACCTGGGGTCCCCCAGGTGAAGCCTTGTAGTGACACTTGCAGTGGCTTCCCAGCGTGATCACGGCAGGAATGGTCACTGTATCACTGTCATCCCGTTGTTCATCGATTTACTCAAGCCAGCGCCAGTAACGTCTCATTCGTCCCAACCCTGAGATTTTAGCAGCCTCTCCTTGCTCGTCTTTCCTGATGCTGCCGTATTGGGAGCTCTTTCGGGATCAAGGGAATGAGACCCGTTATTGTTACTGTTTTTGGCATATCGAATACGCCACGGGGAGCTTGCCAGGCTCTGTCATGCGGGAGCAGGAATGATACCCACATGAAAGAGAACTCTGGGACTAGGGAGGGGTGCAAAGAGCTGTGTGCAGGCCTAGCAAGTGGGAACCCCAAATTCTATCTCGACCTGGCCCCCTGAGCAGTACTAGAGGGGCTGCAAGCAGCAACCCAGTTTTGGGGCTATAAAGCTATGTCCCAAGTTTGCCTTATTTTTGGGGGGGAGGGTGGTGGTACTTTGGGGCCACACTTGGCTGTGCTCCACACTCAGAGGTCACTCCGGGTGGGACTCAGGAAACCATAAGCAGTGCTGGGGATTGAATGGGGGTCGACCAGGGCAAGGTGGGCTCTTTAACCCCTGCACCTCTCTCTCCGGCCCTCTTTTTGGGGCTTGTCCTCCATGAGTGCGTGGGACCCAGGTCCATAATCTTCAGCTCATCTGCCACCCTCCAGGTCCTTCTTCTGCAGCGTGATGGAGTCTGGGTTAGGCCAGCACCCTGCCGGGATGGGAAGGTACCAGTTCTGGTAAAGTGGCTGGGTTCGAAAACCAAGATTCTGGCGTGCTGCTTTCCAAAACCAAGATTCTGGCGTGCAAATAGGACTGGAAGGAACCAGCCTGGCTGGGCCACTGACCACCTGGGATACGGCTTCCCTGAGCCTTAGTTTCCTTAATGCTGCAATGGGTGGGGGGCAGACGAGCTCTCCTCTTGTGGGACTCTGAGGAACTTTATTTTGTGGATCACTCCAGCCATGTTCCAGGATCGTGCAGTACCGGGGATCCAACCTGGGATCTCCCCAGGTGAAGCCCGCATTCCAGCCCTCAGAGCCAGCTCCGTGGCCCAACGGTGTGTTTGTTAAAGTCCTAGGAAATGATGAGTCGCGGATCAGGGTGGCCCTGGGGTGCTGTCGCTATGGTGGCACCTGAGCATCGTTGGAGACAAAGATTAGCTCTCAGGGGGTATGAGTAATGCGCCATCAGGGCTGTGGGAGACGGCGGGTCGCTCCCCTTCCCGTCCCCTTCCCTGTAAGACCCTGGGGCAGCCAGGGAAGGAAACTGGACAGGACCCAGCTCAGGCTGTCCCGATGAGCAGATCTCCCAATGGAAGCCAGACTGAGACTGTGGGAGTGCCGTCCTCTCCAGGGGACCCCCTTTGCACAGCTTCAGTGGCGGTGGAGGTTGGCAGGGAGGTCAGAGCTGGACTTCTCAGCCAGGAAGCAGAGATGTTACTTCCTGGGTCTCAGGTATGTGGGGGCAGGGACCTTCAGCGGGGCGCCGGGCACCTGTTCTTCGGGATTCAAGAAGACGGTGGGATGTAAGGAACCTCTCACCAAGAGCCACAGGAAACACCCGCCTGGATGTCCCGAGTTCACATCTGAGGAGAGGCACCAACGGGCCAGTGTCGTGTGTCCGATGTGTGGTTCACAGCAGAGCCGCTGAACACGGAAGTGCAGGGGTTAAAAGGGCCGTGGATCCTTGGGGAGGAGTCTCGGGGTTCAAGATATGGACTTTAGCTCAAGTGCATGGGCTCTGGACTAAATCTCTCCCCCTTTCCGGCCCTTGGACTTCTAACTCGCAAAGCTGGCGTTTCGGAGGCTCCTTCTAACGCCGACATTGCCCTTCTAGTGGCACTTAGGATGGGGGGGTGCTGCAAATGAGAAAGGGAGGTCGCAAGGCGCGCTGCTGTCCTTCCGAAACTGGCCCGTAAGCCTCCCCGCCCGAGGATGCTTCCGTTGCCACAGCAACCGGGCGGCCGGCGTGGTCCAGGCGTCCCGCTGAGGATGCTGGGAAGAGGCTTGCCCTTCCCAAGATGGCGGCGGCCAGAGCGCAAGGGGCGGGGCGAGCGCGGCCGGCCGGCCCGGGCCGCCCCCGCGTTTCCATTGCTCACGCCAACGGCGAGCTTCCGTGAAATACTCTTTCCCTTTCCTGGTTCTGGGAGCCCCGGGAACCAGGCAGGGGAGGTTCGTCTGCCGGGATTGGGGCGAACGTCCCGAGTTGGGAGGCGGGACTTCCGCTCGCGGGCGGAAGTGACGCCACAGTCGCGGCCGCAGACAGGTGGAACGGCAGGTGGGTGCAGGTGCCAGCCTGGCGCGGAGCTGGCTGCGAGGCTGACGCTTCCGGTGCACGGCAGAGGCAGCTCCCCCGGGCCTGGAGTCCCGCGCGGGGCGGGTTCTGGGGTCCGAGCCCACCGCCTGGCCTGCAGGTCCCCCCTTGGACCTAGAAGAGGCACCTGCGCGCCCCGGGGCCCCGCCCCCACCTCCCGCGCCGCCGGGCTTGGGGCAGGGCACCTCGGACCCTGCGCGTCCTCACCCTCCGCACTCTCTCTCCCGGCTCCAGTCACCCCCTCCCCCGGCGAGCTGGGTCGCTAGCCCGCCCGCCCTAGCTCTCGGGACCATGTTCGCAGACTTGGACTATGACATCGAGGAGGATAAGCTGTGAGTAGACCTGGTTCCCCCAAGCCCCGGGGGGTGCGGCAGCTCCGGGCCTCGGGGTCCCCCCAACTCCCCCCGCCTCCCCGCGCCCCCAGCCCTTTCTTCTCAGCCCGGCATCCGATTGGGCACTGCCTCTGCCATGCATCCGTCTGTCCGTCCGTCCGCGTCCGTCCGTCGGGGCTGTGGCTCACGATCGGAGCTGACGTTACTGGCCAAAAGGGCGCCGTGGACAGAGACCAGCCCAGCGGGTGCAGGGCAGATGGCCAGGGAGGCCCCCGCGATCCCCATCCAGATTGGGAAGCTAACGAGAATGGCCTGGCACAGACCCCCGTGCGGACGATACATGGCATGGGGCTCTTTTTTTTTTTTTAAGTTTGTTTCCCCACTGACTCATCAGGATAAAGTTGCAGTGCCCTCGGGTGTGCTGGGCCCTGAGTGAGGGGCTTGGCATCAGGGGGTTGTTAACAGAGGTCTAGAGCGGAAGGGGCGCTGGTAAGAGTCTTGCTCGCACACCTGGTGAAATAAGCGTTCATTGGCTGTAGAATTGGAGAGAGGGGGTGAGGGGGGAAGCATTTGACAACAGCTTCTCGGGGAGGCATCCCCGAAGCTCCTCATGTGCCCGAGACGGTGCCAGCCTCCAGCTTCGACCCACGGAGAGGAAGGGGGACCTGTTTTTATGCCAGGCCTGCTGCGGGCACCTGCCGGGCACTTGTGCCTCAGAACTTTGGCGAGGCAGCTCCTCTGATTGGACTCATGGTGTGGATGGGGAGACTGAGGCACAGAGACAGGGACAGCCCCAGGCCGCCGTGAGCTGGACCACACTGTGGCTGTCAGCGTCCCTCGGGGTCTCCTGTCCCCTTCCCTGCCCCTGGCCCCTTCCCTGGGGGCTCAGCGCTGCTCCTGTCTCTCCAGCGGAATCCCCACCGTGCCCGGGAAGGTCACCCTGCAGAAGGACGCACAGAACCTGATCGGCATCAGCATCGGTGGAGGCGCCCAGTACTGTCCTTGCCTCTACATTGTCCAGGTGCGGCCACCCCCTTCCTCCCCAGCCCTGCGCTGCCCCGTGACCCTCCCGCCACCCCCCAGCCCGGCTGTCTGCTCTCTCCCGGCCTGTGCCGCTTCTCCAGACCTCAGGGCGCCGAGGCCGGGCCCGACAGGCTCTCCCTGCGTCAGTCCCACACCGGCCGCGTTCTTGCAGCAGAATGTTAGTGACTTGGTGTCGGGGGCTGAGCAGGGAGACGCCAGTGCTACTGCCTTGCTTAGTAGCCGCGCCGACACACCAGGGACACACCATACACACACTGCGCACATATCACGCACACACCTCGGACATATCATGGACATACCCTGGACACACCCCAGACATATCACGGTCACACCAAAGATACTCCATGAACACACCAGGGGCACACCACAGACACAGTGGACATACCACGAACACGTTACGGACATATCAAGGACATGCCATAGACACACCACGCACATACCATTCACACACCACGCACACACCACAGATACTACACGAACGCACCATGGGCACACCACGCACACACTATGGAAACATCTGACACACTATGGATACACCATGGACACACCATGGACACACACTATGGAAACACCTGACACACCATGGGTACACCACAGACACACCACAGGTACATCGTGGATACACCACAGGCACCCCACGGACGCACATGGATGCACCACAGACACACACACCATGGACATACCACAGGGACCAAGCAGTAGCATAACAGGTCGGGCCCTTGCGTTGCACACACCAACCCGGGTTCGATCCCCAGCATCCCATAGGGTCCCTGAACACCACCAGGAGTAATTCCTGAGTGCAGAGCCAGGAGGAACCCCGGAGCATCACAGATATGGCCCAAAAAGGGGGAAAAAATACATACCGCAGATATACCATGGACACACCATGCACACACTATACACACACCACACACACACCACGGACAAACAGCAGCATTGTGGCCTGAAAGGATACTTCATGTGATTTCTATTTTGTGTCACCTGTAGACACACGAATCATTTCAGCATGTGATTTGTCTTGGAGAATGTTCCGTGTGCCCCAGGGAAGAATGTGCGTTCGGCTTTGGGGGTGCAGAGGGCCTGTACTCGTCTGTTAACCGAGCTCTTCCGGTCCTCACTCGGGATCTTATTTCCGTCCTGACTCTCTGTCTGGGCGGTGCCCCGTGACGGGTCTCCCACGCTGTCTGTTAGCGTTCGCTTTATAGACTTTGCTTCACCAATTATTTGATGCATATATGTTGGTAAGTCCTCTTGAGCTGTTGCTGTCTTTTTGTTTTTATTTTACCGAGTATAATAGAGTTTCTATTTTTCCTACAATGACTTCTTTTTTTTTTCCAATTGAATCACCGTGAGTTACAGCTACAAAACTTTCATGGTTGAGTTTTGGTCACACAATGGTCAAACACCCATCCCTCCACCAGTGCACATTTCCCACCACCAGTGTTCCCAGTGTCCTTCCCTCCACCCCCACCCCACCCAAGCTATGCTGTCTTAATTCTTAACTAGTATGCTGTGTCCATCCCCTTCTCTAGCTACTTTATTTATTTATTGCTTTTTGGGTCACACCCAGCAATGCACAGGGGTTCCTCCTGGCTCTGCACTCAGGAATTACTCCTGATGGTGCTCAGGGGGCCATATGGGATGCTGGGGATCGAACTCAGGTTGGCCGCATGCAAGGCAGACGCCCTACCCGCTGTGCTATTGCTCCAGCCCCCTCAAGCTACTTTAAAAAAAACTAAATGCTCTTTGGACTGGTGCAGTCTGGCCACTCCTGCTTTTAATCAACCTGCTGTCACTATCCTGCTGGGTTGTTTCCATCCATCAGTCTGAGTGTTTGTCATGAAAGTTAAGTGTGTCTCTTGTAAGTAGCAAGAGGAGGTTGAGGCCAGAGCCCTGGTACAGTGGGGAGGGTGTTTGCCTTGCACACGGCTGATCTGCGTTTGATTCCCAGCATCTCATAGGGTCTCCTGAGCACCGCCAGGAGTGATTCCTGAGTGCAGAGCCAGGAGTAACCCCTGAGCATCGCCAGGTGTGACCCCAAAAATTAAAAAAAAAAAATTAAAAAAAAAGGTAGTCTGCCTTTCGGGGGCTGCAGTGATCCCAAGAAGACCCCCCACACACATAAAAAAAAAAGTAGCAAGAGGTTGAATTTTGATCCTGATTTATCTAGCCACTAGCATTTAGAGAAATAAACATTATTGCTGTTTTTTTCTATGAGGATTTTGGTGTTTGGTGTTTTCCTTTTTGTTTTCTTTTAATAGGAAGCCATTCAGTATTCCCAGCTTTACTTTAAACATAACATGCCTTCTGTTGTTTTTCTGAGAATATTTTTATCACTCCCTCAAATCTGAGTGACAGCCTTGCAGGGTAGAGAATTCTTGGTTGGACTTTCTTTGCATTCAGTACTTTGAATATACATTCCATTCCCTTTCTGTTTATAGAGTTCATATGAAAAATCAGCTGTGAATTTTCATGTTGGTTCCCTTATATATGCTTGTGTCTATTGCTGCTTTTTTGCAGTTTTGTGCTCAAACAAACAAAACAAACACCCAACTGTGCTCAGGGCTGACTCCTGGCCCGCACTCAGGGATCACTCCTGGCAGTGCTCGGGGGATCATTTGAGGTGCCAGGGATCAAACCTGGGTCAGCCAACATCCTCCTCTCTGTACTAGCACTCCAGCCCCTCTATTGCTGCATTAAGGCGGTGGGTGGATGGTGGCGGGTGCTCAGGGGTTATTTCTGGCTCTGTACTTGGGAATCACTCCTGATGGGGCTCAGGGGACCATAGGGGATGCTGGGGATCAAACCCAGATCGGCCACCTGCGAGGTAAGCACCTTACCCGCGATGGTGTCACTCTGACTCCTCATTCTGCTTATTTTGTTTGACGCTGTTTGCGCTTTCTGGATCAGCTTCCATGAGATTGAACCTCCCTCCTCAGCTTTTTTTTTTTGGGGGGGGGCAGGGGAGACTGCACAGGGAGTATTTCTCCCACTGCAGTTTCTCCCCATCTCTTATCTTCTGTAAGTCCTATGATGAGGCGGTTGTTCCTCTTGATATTGTCCAGGATGTCTCTTAAATTTTCTTCATTAAAAAAAAAAAAGTTCTGGGGCTGGAGTGATAGTACAGCAGGTAGGGTGTTTGCCTTGCACGCGACCCACCTGGGTTCGATTCCCAGCATCCCATAGGGTCCCTTGAGCACCGCCAGGAGTAACTCCTGAGTGCAGAGCCAGGAGGAACCCCTGTGCATCGCCAGGTGTGACCCAAAAAGCAGAAAAAAAAAGTTTCCTATTAAGGAATTTGACGAGTTGATGATGCCATGTGCCTTGTCTTTGGAGCCTGTTCCGTTGTTGTCAGGGGGTTGTTTGGGTTGGTTTGAGGGTTTTTTGCCACCCCCCCTGCAGCAATGCCCCTGGCTCTTCACTCAAGAACTACCTATGGCAGGGTTTGGAATTTCAGAGATCTAACTCGGGTGGCCGCCTGCAGGTGCTGTCACTCGGCCCCTGAAGCCACCAGCTCCGTTTTCTCCTTCTGCTGTCCTGATGTGTATAATCCTGCGGGGTCCGAGTCCCTTCTTCGTTGTTGTGTGTTTGTTTGCTCTTCCTTATTCTTGCTGCCTCCTGGGGGGTCAGGTGTGAGCTCTGAGCGCCAGCTGACCTGAGCTGGAATGGCCAGTGACAACCAGTTCAGTGCCCGGGATGCCTCTGAGTTCTGGTCCTGGTGAGGGTTTAAATGCTCACATCTGGGGCTGGAGCAATAGCACAGCGGGGAGGGCGTTTACCTTGCACACAGACAACCCGGGTTCGATTCCCAGCATCCCATAGGGTCCCCCGAACACCACCAGGAGTCATTCCTGAGTGCAGAGCCAAGAGTAACCCTTGAGCATCACCAGGTGTGACCCAAAAAGCAAATAAAAAAATAAATAAAAATAAATGCTGGCATCCTCGCAGCGGCCGTGACAGACATGCACCCCCGGTCACAGAGGCCAGTATTCAGCTCCACTTTGCCATGTTTTGTGTTTTCTTAGACACAACGGCACTGCACACTGGTTGTAGCGGAGTGCAGACATGACTTAGATATGTCCTGAGAAACCAAAGATGCTGTGACATGCCCGATCATGGTGCTCGGGGCCTGAGCCAGCTGCATCTCTGACGGTGCCCAGATCTAGAGGGGACCTGACTCATTTTCTCTGTTTGTACATGAAACAAGTAGGGGGGATGATAGTCCAGTGGGTAGGGCGCTGGCCTTGCATGCAGTCCACCCGGGTTCGAATCCCGGCATCCCATAAGGGCCCCTGAATACCACCAGGAGTCATTCCTGAGTGCAGAGCTGGGAGCAAACCCTGAGCATCACCAGGTATAGCACCCCCAAGAAGAAGAAGAAAAAGAGAGAGATTTTATAACATAGGATGGATGATTTTTGTATGTAGTCTTTTTTTTCTTTTTGGGTCATACCCTGTGATGCACAGGGTTTACTCTCCTGATCATGCACTCAGGAATAACTCCTGGCAGTGCTCTGGGCACCATATGGGATGCCAGGAATCAAATCTGGGTTGGCCGCGTGCAAGGCAAGCACCTTACCTCTGTATTATGGCTCCGGCCTGTAACGGTTTCTAGAGTATAAGTCAGCGGCACCCAGAGCATCACTAAAGAATGACCCCCCATTTCTAGTCTTACTTTCCCCCCACAGACATCCTGTGTCCCCTCAGTGGCCAGTTCTCATGCCCCGCCTTCCCTGTCTGCCTGGCGGCCATCTGCTCTGCGTCGCCCACACAGCAGGGGCGGTGCTCCGTGCCATGATGGCTTGCTGTCCAGTGCCCGTGTTGTCACCTCATACCTGCTCTGACCAGGCCCTCCAGTCTGCAATCAAGTCACCTGCTCCGAGCTCTTGTTCTTTTTGGGGGCCATGCTTCCCTTTCTCGTGGGCTTGGGGCGGGTACGTGAGTCTGTGTGTCACTGGGGCAGGGCTGCCCCCTGCCATCTGCTCACTCCCTGCCTCTTCCTGCGCCCCAGGTGTTCGACAATACCCCGGCTGCCCTGGACGGCACCGTGGCCGCGGGCGATGAGATCACGGGCGTCAACGGCAAGTCCATCAAGGGCAAGACAAAAGTGGAGGTGGCCAAGATGATCCAGGCGGTGAAGGTGAGCCGGTGCCTGGAATGTGCCCCTGCAGAGCCCCTCACCCCTCCCTGAGCCTCCCCGGGGGACCCTGGGGTGCCCCATCAGGGCTCTTAGCATTGCATGGGGCATCCCTGGGAAAATGACGGAGTGCAGGTTTGGGGGGCAAGAGTGGGCAGGACCCCTCCCCTGGCTGGAGCCTGGCGGGACTCGGGGTGGGGGCGTGGCAGGACTCCTCATCCCGCTAGAGCACTAACAGAGTCCTCCTGACTGACTTTGGGGCTGGGGGCTGCGGAGGGAAGGGGACCACAGCTGCCCTAGGCTGGACAGAGATGGGGGCAGGGCTCTCAGCTCCTCCTGCCCCAGACCCAGGCCGCGGGGTGTGGAGCTCCCTCTCAGCCCCATTTCCTTGCAGGGGGAGGTGACCATCCACTACAATAAGCTGCAGGCAGACCCCAAGCAGGGCATGTCCCTGGACATCGGTGAGCGGCCAGCAGTGTCTCCCCTGCCCCGGTCCCACCCCCCAGCCTCCTCCCTGGTATCTGGCGGTCCTAATGTGGTGCTTCAGAGGCCCCTTAGTACCCCAGGCCCAGGCCCTCACACTGCCTACCAAAGGGGTGGGCACCTCACGGCTCCTGCAGGCCCCGCCCCTCCTCAGTACCCTTCTCCTCGGCCACGCCCCACCTCAGCACCCGTTCTCAGGCCCCGCCCCTCAGTCCTGCCTTTCAGGCCCCGCCCCTCCCCAGCATCACCCTTCTCAGGCCCCGCCCCTCAGTTCCACTCTCCTCAGGCCACGCCCCTCCCCCAGCACCGCCCTTCTCAGGCCACGCCTCTTCCCCAGCACTGCCCCTTTCAGGCCACGCCCCTCCACAGCGAGTCCCTCAGATTCTGCCCCTAAGCCACGCCCCTGTGGGCCACGCCCTTCCACAGCACCAGTGTTCTTAGGCTCCACCCCTCATTAGCCCTGCCCTCTAGGCTCCGCCCCTTCCCAGCCTTGTGTTTCTACTCTCCCCTCACGCCCCGCCCCTTCTTACTCCTGCCCCTCTAGACCCCGCCCCTTCCCCCGCCCCTTCTCCTGTCCTCTCAGGCCCCGCCCCTTCTTTGCCCTGCCCCTCTAGGCTCCGCCCCTTCCCAGCCCTGTTCCCCAGGCTCCGCCCCTCAGACTCGGCCCCCTCTGCCCCACCCTCGCCAGTGCCCTGGAGGGCCCCAGGTCAGCCTGGCCCTCAGGCTAGTTAGGGCGTCCCTAGACTCCCTTCTGCCCAGCATGCCTGAGTCTTGATCTGTAGAAACTTCTAGACTCTAGAGCAGGACCCATCAAGGTCTGAGACCAGGAGGACTGTGCCCAGGTGACCGCACCCCCAGGTTATCTACTGACCAGGGCGGGGGCTGTCCGGGGGTGTGGGGAGGAGGTCGAGGCTGGAGATCCCTGCCCAGAGCTGCCTCCTCAAGCCGGTGCCATCTTGAGCCTCAGATGTGGGCATGCTGGGGAATCTCCGACGGGACCTCTGCCCTTGTCCTGGCGCCCTGGCCTCCTCTGGGACAACGGGGGCTTCCCGAGGCCACCCCGGCTCAGCGACACCCACTAGCCACCCTCATGTCCTGCCCTTGGCCAGGCCCTTGACAGCTGCCTTGTTCCCGCACCCCCAGAACAGACCGGGACGGGCCCCATGCCCCCGCCCCCAGCACCCCCACTCCACCCACCCCACAGCAAACCCAGTTTTGCCCCTTCCACCCTGGTGCGTGCTCGTGAGCCTGGGTGGGGGGTCGGGTACGTGTTGGGGGTCCAGCCAGCAGCCCACCCTCTCCCCTGAACCCATCTGCTGGTGCCCCCAGTGCTGAAGAAGGTGAAGCACCGGCTGGTGGAGAACATGAGTTCGGGGACCGCAGACGCCCTGGGCCTGAGCCGGGCCATCCTGTGCAACGGTGAGCCCCACCCCGCGCAGACCCCTCGGGCTGGCCCTGGCGGCCCCCGCCCGTTGCCGCACTCCCGGAGAGCGTCCACGTGCGCCCGCCCCTCCAGCCGAGTCTCCCCAGCAGACCGCGGCGGGTGGGGCGGGGAGGGGGCGCGGACTGGCACCGGGGAGCCCTGTCTGCGCCCGGCCCCGCCCTAGTCCACCCTCGGCCCCGCCGCCCTGCGCTCCTGCCGCTGTCCAGGAGGTGGCGCCGCTGCGCTCTTCTCCGCCGCTCGGGCTGGAGGCGGCGGCGGCGGGCAGGGGAAGCCGCGTCCACGCGCCTCGCACCCACGCACGGGCCTGGCCCTCGCGTCGTCGTCGCAGCCGGGGCGTATAAATAGCCGCGGCGCTGGCTGGGGAGGGGGCGCGGCTATAAATACCCAGAGAAACTGTGGGCTCAGCGGGGCGCCGGGCTGCGCGGGCTGGGGCTGGAGGCGGGGCCCGAGCGCCCCGAAGTGGCCGCTGCTATTCCGGGCGCCGTTGGGCTATAAATCCCCGTTACTGTAGTTACCGCGCATCGGGATGAAATTAGCACCGGTGCTCGTGTTTTTTACCCGCCCCCCCAACCTTGCAATTTCCCCCGCCTGAAATAGGGTTGCTAAAAAGGAAGCGCGCGCTCGCGCGTCCCGTGACCCAGCTAAAAACAACAGCCGGCGCTTACGTGGCGCCTGGGCTGCCAGGCGGCGCTGGGCAGGCTGGGCGCCGGGCGCCAGAGGCCAGCTGCGGGGCCGCCCCCTCCGAGCGCGTCTGGGGGCGCCCTCAGCCACCTCCTCCGCCCGGAGGTGGCCTCAGGCCGGCTGTACGCTCCCTGGGCCCCAGCCGGGACCGCCCCGGCCCAGGTCAGCAGAGTCGGGGGCGCAGGAAGTGCCTCCCCCCACCTGGCCCACCTCTCTGGGACGGTGGTGGAGGGGCATCGAGGGAGGGCAGCTCGCCCGGGCTCCCTGCCTGGTGGGGAGCAGGAGCCGACCTTACCCGTGGGGCGCGAGGGTCTCCCAGATGTACCACCACCTGTGTGTCCGCCCCTGCCTCTTCCTGAAGATTTTCATTGTCAGATCCGCTTGCCCCCATTTCACGGCTTTGCTGCCAGTTGTTGCCGCTGATGAGGGTCTCACCTACCGCCCATGTCCCCTGGGTCTGATGGGGCCCGTACACACAGGTGTCTGCACACAGCAGGCGCGTGTACATGAAGGTGTCTGCACACAGCAGGTGCATACACACTGCAGGTGTTCCTGCATACACCTGCTAAGCAAATATGCATTCAGCAAGGCCCACCCCACAGTGCTCTCTTGATGCTCTTTCTGAGCCCCCCTCCTCCCAGATCGATCTTATGTCCCTTGTCTGCCTTTCCCGCCCACCCCTCAGTTAGAGCAGCTGTCACTGGTCCCAGCCCCGCCTGCGCGGGTTTGGTGGAAACCCCGGAGCCTCGACAGTGCGTGTCCTGTGCCCGCCAAGCTCTGAGCTGCGTTGGTGCCGCTCGGGGGGGCGCCTCTCCCTCCCCGCCTGGCGGGGTCCAGGTGCGGCTCCCCATGGCCGCTGAGACCTGCCAACCCGCCTTCTCCCCACAGATGGGCTGGTCAAGAGACTGGAGGAGCTGGAGCGCACGGCTGAGCTGTACAAAGGTAGGTGGGCAGGAAGAGCGTCGCGCGGGGCGGGGAGTGGCCGTGAGGGCCGCCCTTTCGGGCATCACAGCCCTGAGAAGGCTTCCGAAGGGTGTCACACGAAACGTCTCCCTAAAACTTCAAACGGCAGCACCTGTCCATGCAGTGAACCCCCCCATCTCTGCAGGGACCAGGGTGCGGGATCTGCCCTTCGGCCTGCGGGGGTCTTGACTGAGCCCCATCTTCACGCCAGAAGGCTGGGGTGTCCTGGGGTATCGGGGAACCGGGAACAGAGCTGAGCGCGGGAGGGACGGGGTCAGCGGCCTCCCTCCCACCTCCCACAGGGATGACGGAGCACACCAAGAACCTTCTCCGGGCCTTCTACGAGCTGTCCCAGACACACCGGGGTAAGAGCACCCAATCCACTGTGTGGCCTCCTGCAGTGGGGTGCAAACCCCTCCCCCCTAGAGGGGAAAACCCCCTCTGCAGCGGGGTGCCACCAAGCTATACAAGGGTGTGGCTCCCGGGGGGGCGTGGCCCAGCTCTCCTGGGGCGTGACCCAACTTTCCTGGGGGCGGGGCCAAGCTCTCTTGGGGGCGGGGCCAAGCACTCCTGAGGGCGGGGCCCAGCTCTCCCAGCTCTACATCAGTACCCCCAGGGGCGTGGTCTGGTACGCCAGGCTATGAACTCACCTTCCTTGGGACACAGTCTCCAGCCCTGCTTCCTGGGCCTCCCGTCTGCCATCACTCCCCACTCCCCCCAAGTCCTGCTTTCATAGTACATTCAGTCCAGGCAGCCCGCGGCAAACCTGTCTTGCAGCCTTTGGGGATGTGTTCTCTGTGATCGGGGTGCGGGAGCCCCAGCCGGCCGCCAGCGAGGCTTTCGTGAAGTTCGCAGATGCGCACCGCAGCATCGAGAAGTTCGGCATCCGGCTCCTGAAGACCATCAAGCCGGTAGGGCGCGTGGAGCCCACGGGACGGCCGGTGCGGGCCAGCGAAGGGACGCAGGCAGTTGGCGCGGGCCAAGTTCCCGGGTCCTTTGGAGCTGTTCCCCCGGGAGGAAGGAGGCCTCGGTGCTCTCGCTGTGCCCCTCTGGCCAGCCTGACTCTCCGCCTGGCTTGGGGGGCTCAGTGTGCACCCCATCCCTCCAGATGCTGACCGACCTGAACACGTACCTCAACAAGGCCATCCCTGACACGCGCCTCACCATCAAGAAGTACCTGGATGTGAAGTTCGAGTACCTGGTACGTGCCGGAGCCCGAGGGCGAGGCTGGCTGCAGGGTCACAGGACCTGACTGGCCACCGCCCTGTCGCATTTGGGGAGGTGGGACCCCCAGGCTGGGAGCCTTAGTAGGGCCCCTGGGGGCCTGTGCAGGCAGAACCTGGGACTGTTTTGATCCTTCGAGGTTCATCCATTTGGAGGGGGTCCCTTTATCCAGTGGGTTACCCAGTCCAGTCACCGGGAGTCAAGTGCCTTCCAGGTCCTGTGGGTGTCACTTTTGATTTGTTTGGGGCCCACAGCTGTCAGTGCTCAGGGCTGCTCCCAGCTCCATGTTCAGAGGTTGCCCCTGATGGTGCTCAGGGGACCCCGCGGTGCTGAGCGTGGGGTCTGGGGCTCCTTCGTGCAGGTCTGTGCCTCAGTCCTCTGAGGCTCTCCCCCACCCCAAGAATGTTCATGCTGAAGTGGTGATTCTCTGGTCAGAGGAGTTAAGAGACCTGTGGTTGGCCACTCCAGGGCACCCCTGACCTGAGCACCTGGGCCAGCCACACCTCCTGCCCCCCACCTCTTGGGGCCTGTGGGCTGCTGCAGGTGCCCTGCCCAGCCCCGTCCCACACCACACACACACACACACACACACACACACACACACACACACTGCTTCTGCCTTGGGTCGGCAGCACCCACACGGTCCTCAGGGCTATTGGGCCAGTGTCCAGGGGCCCCGGCCATGCTGATGACCTCCCCTGTCCCCCAGTCGTACTGTCTGAAGGTGAAGGAGATGGATGATGAGGAGTACAGCTGCATCGTGAGTGTGGGCGCGCACTGGATGTGCGGGTGCATCAGGGAAGGAGGGGGGAGATTGGAGGGGGGTGATTCTTGGCTGATTCTTGTGCTGCCCCCGGCCCCGCCCCTGCCCCGCCCCCCCAGACCGGGAAGTTGTTGCAGGAAAGCACACTCCTCGCTCCCAAGAGACACTTTCAACTTGCTCGATGTGGCATTTCGAGCTACACCTGGCATTGCCCAGGGGTCCCTCCTCAGGCCCGGGACAGAACCCGGAGCCCTCCCAGCCTGCATTGTCGCCTTTGAAGCATTTCATGTTTGTTTTCCTGAGAGGCGAGAGCTCTCAGCAGTGCTCAGGGAGGCCTAGGGGCCTCTCCCGGCGATGCTTGGCCCAGAGGTGCTGGTTAGGGGGGTTGCGCTGGGGCTCGAGCCCTTTGACTCCCCAAGCCCCTCCCAGGGCTTCCTGCTTGGATTCCAGGGACCCTGTTGGCCCATCTCGTGGCGGTGCCCAGCGGGCAGTGTCCCCCCCCTCAGCCCCGGAGCACCACAGCCCGCAGCTTCAGAACGTGGGGCCCAGGGCAGGGGGGCGGTGCCGTGCGTGGCAGCCCCCACCCCGCTCCCTGAGCTCCCCCCCCCGCCCCCGCCGCCATTGCAGGCCCTGGGGGAGCCACTGTACCGCGTGAGCACCGGCAACTACGAGTACCGCCTGATCCTGCGCTGCCGCCAGGAGGCCCGCGCGCGCTTCTCCCAGATGCGCAAGGATGTGCTGGAGAAGATGGAGCTGCTGGACCAGAAACACGGTAGGGTAGGGCGCCCCCTGGCGGCGGAGCGACGCCCCGCGTCCCACGCTGGCGCCTGGGGCGGGGCGCGGGAACCCCGGGTGCTGGGCTCCTGCAGACCCCGGGTTCTCCCCGGCCCGACACCTCCCGGGGCGCGGGGGGCCGTGGGGGCGGCCGGCCGGCCCTGCCCACCTCTGCGCCCCTCCCCGCAGTCCAGGACATCGTGTTCCAGCTGCAGCGCTTCGTGTCCACCATGTCCAAGTACTACAACGACTGCTACGCGGTGCTGCGGGACGCCGACGTCTTCCCCATCGAGGTGGACCTGGCGCACACCACGCTGGCCTACGGCCTGGGCCAGGAGGAGTTCACCGACGGCGAGGAGGAGGAGGAGGACGAGGAGGACGCGGCCTCCAGGGAGCCCTCCAGGAACGTGCGCGGGGCCGCGGGGCCCCTGGACAAGGGTGGGAGCTGGTGTGACTCCTGAGTGCCCCCCTCCCCCTCCGCGGGGCGCACAGCTGGGGGGTCGGGGGAGTGGGAGGACCACCGCCCCGGGGGCGGGGGGTGCATAAAGGCCTGCTGGCTCGGGGCGCCTGCCTCCCTGCTCCTCTGTCCTAGCAAACGCACCCCGGCTCCTGCCCAGGCGAGGCGGCCGGGGTCTGGGCACGTCCCCCGGCCCCCCACACCCCCAGCCCTACGCCTGGTGGCGGGCTCTGCCTTAGCAGAACGGCAGAGAAAGGGGGTGGAGGTGGCGGGAGCCCAGGAGCCCGTGGGGGGGGCGGGCTGCGGGGGGCCCCCCCAACCTGCGCCTGCGGGAAGTGGGGGCCCCACTCCCTCCCCCTCGCACCTTGGCGGCCTTTATTTATTTGACCCCGTCCTGGGGGCGGGGCCGTGTTGAATAAACAGAGCAGTCAGCAGCTCCCACCTCGCTCCTCTTTTCTGCCCCCTCCCCCGGGGTCCTGGGGGGACCCCACAGAGTGCGGTCCGGGGGCTCGGCCCGGCCACCTGCCTCTCCCGCCAGGGCTCGCCCCATCTTTGAAGTGAGCGTGCGGGGTCGGCGCACCACACCCCAAAGGGAAGTCCCAGGCCCCACCTAGTGGGCAACACGGTCTGCGGCATCCTCGGGGGTGGGGGACAGCCCTTCGGTACACCCCAGGCACAAGTGACCCCCTTTCTCTGTGTCCCCACTCGGACAGTGAGCTTGGGGGCCAGTCAGAGAGTGGGGGCGCAGGCTCAAACCCAGGTCAGCCACATGCCAGAGAGGCGCCCTACCCACTGGGCCATCTCACCGGCCCGCTTGGGGTTCTGTCCCGCGCCTTGGGTCTCAGAACATTCCAGAGGGAGCCAGCTTTTTCCCGGAGGGGTCCTGGGAGAGGGGTCGCCCTCCAAGCCCCTCCCCAGGCAGCAAATGCTTCTCCCGTTCCCCCTCTCCCGCAACCCGGCCCAGGGGTCGGTCACAGTGGCCCCGTGTGCCCCCATGACAGATGGGAGGGAGGCACGGAGACAGGCTGGGCCGGACCACAGCGGGGAGCCCCCCTTTCCCTCCATCCCGCGGCCCCTCCAAGCCAGGGGGTATCCTGGTGCTGGGCACGGCCAAGGGCATGGTGGGTGTTTGGTGCCCTCCGTGTTCCCGGCCCCGGAGACCCCTCCCACACTCACCCGCTGCTCCCCGGAAGCCTAGCTGCTTGGGGGTGCCCACTGGGCGGGGCCCGGGCGGGCTCAGTTTCCCCCCACAAGCCCACTTAAGAGACTTTTGCCTGGGAGGAGAGCAGGGGTCCCCTGCCCCCCAAAACACCCCAGCCTCCCCAGGGAGTGCTGAGAGGCCATAATCCTGCAGGGACGGGGGTCCTGATGTCAGACGGCACTGACCCTCATCTCCTCAACCTCTCGCCGGCCCCCCACCCTCCCACCCACATTCCAGCGCGCCCTGTGACCCCGCAGGACAGGCTAATCCCCCGGAGAGGCTGGACAGGAGAGGGCCAGGGGCCTGTGTCCAGGGGGGTCCCGGGCCTCGGCCACAGCCCCCAGCTCCATCTGGGGGACCCACGATTTTCTGGAGCCCCCAGGGGCAGACTCGGACAGCCCCCCGACTGGCCCCCAGTTCGCTCTGCAGCGGGACCCCGCCCCCCACCCGGGCGCCCCGACTCGGATGCCGTCGGTTCTGCCTCTCGCTTTATTTCCCGCCAGTTACAAAAGTGAACAGGGACAAGAGCAGAGCTGGGGGGCGCGGGGGGCTTCTCCCCGTGGAGCAGACGGGTAGCGGGGGATGGGGCGCCCCGGCCCCTGGCTGGAAGAAGTGGGCCCGTCCCTCAGTTCCGCACGCCTGGCTTGGAAGGCTCCAGGCCCGTTTGGTGCCCGTGAAGGGGCTTGGGGCAGCCCTTCCCATCCCCCCCCGCCCCCAGGATCCGGTCGCCGGCTCGGACCCGCTGCTGCTGCCGCCGCCAGCTCTGGTGGCCCCCAGGATCGTGGGGGTCAAGTCGGCCCCCTGGAGAGCGAGCGCCTCAGCGGATGAGGGGTGCAGAACGGTCGTTGGTGGTCGTGGGGCGGAGCTTCACCGTGGCAAAGGGGTTGGTGCCCCTGGAGTAGGGGAGGCTGGGTGAGAGGGGTCCCGGCCGCAGCCGTGGGGGGGAGGGCAGGGGGATGGGACGGCTCTCCCCGCCCCCTCGACCCCCTACTGAGCCCGCACCCGGGACTCACCGAGGGAAGAGTTCGGGGGGCTGCTGTTCCCAGGACGCGAGTTTCTGCGGGGTGGGGGGAGGGAGGGCTGGGTTTGCAGGGGCACGGGGTCACGAGACCCCCAGAACCCCCCACTCCAGCGGGCAGGTCTGGCAGGGTGGGCACAGCAGCCTCTGGGCTAGAATGTCTCCTCCTGCCTCCCCCAATGGGGGGGACGCTCCCCACCGCCCCCAGCCCCTCTGGGCCCCCCAGCTGGGGCGGGGGTCTGGGGGCTCACCTTGCTGTCGCTGGTGGTTGTGCTGCTCACGCTGTCTCGGCGGGGGGTGGGCAGAGGGGGCGGGGGCGGGGCGGGGCTGGGGGCGCGGCTCGGGGGCCGGCTGGGGGAGGCGGCCAGCGGGTAGCCCGGCCTGTCCAGGAGGTCATCAAGGCTGTGGCTGCCCCGGAGCGGGTACGACCTAAGTGCATCCGGATGCGGCGTCAGGAGGCCCAGCTGCCCCCGGCCCCCCAGACCAGGTGCCTTCATGAAGGCTGTGGGTGGGAGACGCAAGGGCCGGAACCCGGGCAGCCCCCACAGTACCTGGAGGGCAGCTCATTCATGGGGCTCAGGGGGCTCAGGGGGCTCAGGGGGGACACCGGTCTGAAGGCGCTCAGGGGGTCCATGGGCATCTCCAGGGGCTTCACGTAGGCCTCTGGAAACCACCCGGCCCTGGGGTGCAAGAAGGGGGTCCCCTAAGTAAGAGGCTCCCCCCACTTGGCCTCCAGGCACGGAGACGTGGGGGGCTGCACACCCAGGCCCCGTGCACCCCCATTCCCATCCCTGGCACCTTCTCTTACCCACACAGCTACCCTCTGTGCACCCCACTCACCCGTTCCGCAGCCCCCCCCAACGCCCGACCCCCGACCCCCGTCCCCTGCACTGCCTGCGCCTGCAAACTCCCCTTTGCCCATGCCTGGGCGTGATCTCCCCCAGGGGCTCACTAACGTTCACTCTGGAGACCCCTTTTTTTTGGGGGGGGGGCTTTTTTTGGTCACATCCGGCGTTGCACAGGGATTACTCCTGGCTCTGCACTCAGGAGTTACTCCTGGCGGTGTTCAGGGGACCGTAAGGGATGCTGGGAATCGAACCCGGGTCGGCCGCGTGCAAGGCAAACGCCCTACCCTCTGTACTATTTCTCCAGCCCCAAGAGAGCCCCCTTCTCCTCCCGCCCCCAACCCGGAGACCTCAGCGCTCACGCCTGGGGCGAGGGGGGGCTGGGGACCCGCAGTGGGCCGTCAGGGATGGAGCCCAGGTGGGTGGCGCGCAAGGTGAGCTCCCGCCCCGCTGGACCGTCGCCCCGCCCCGCCCCCCCACCCCCACTGATTAATTTGATGGTTGTGGAGTCCCCCACGTTGGGGGGGGCTCAGTCCACCCATGCGACCGGGCCCCACCCACGGGACCCCGCAGCTCGAGGTCCCGGGCTGCGGGGGAGAGGAAACAGCGCCCGCCACCCCGGCTCCCGGGCGGGTGGGGAAACGGAGGCAGGGGCGGCCCACTCACGCGGCGGAGCCTTCCAGCCGGCCGTACAGCCAGCCGTTGCGGGCCTCGGGCACCAGCACCTCCACCACGTCCCCGGCGGAGAAGCACAGCAGCGTGTGGTTGGCGCCCTGCGAGTGCGACACGAGCGCGCGGACCCTGCGCGCGCCCCCGCCGCCCGCGCGCTCCGCGAAGGCGCCGTACAGCGAGGCTGCGGGAGAGGGGCGCACGTCGGGGCGGGCCCGGGGCGGCCCCCAGGCTCCGCCCGGACCCCGCAGCCACCCCGGCCGCTGCCCCCCGCCCCCGCCGGCCGCTGCCCCCGCCCCGACGCCCCCGCGGCCGCTGCCCCCGTCCCGACGCCCCGCACCCCGCCCCGACGCCCCCGCGGCCGCTGCGCCCGTCCCGACGCCCCCGCACCCCGCCCCGACGCCCCCGCGGCCGCTGCCCCCGTCCCGACGTCCCCGCCCGACGCCCCCGCGGCCGCTGCCCCCGCCCCCGCCCGACGACCCCGCTAGGCTCTGACCCCGCCCCGACGCGGTGGACACTCACAGGCAGACGACGTCCGGGGCAGGGACCGGCGATCGGGCTCCAGCTGGGACGCGGACCGCGCGTCCAGGGCCTCGGGGCCGTAGGAGCCGGAGCCGAGCCGGCTGCCGGGGGACCCGAACTCTCCCAGAGACCTCTGGGGCGGCTGCGGGGGGGACACGGGCAGGGGAGGGTGGGGCGGGGAGGGGCCGGGGCGCGGCGCCCTAGTCCAGCCCCCACCACCCCCAGTCCCAGACGTCGGCGTAGGGGTTCAGGGGTCTCCGGCCGAGCCACCAGGGGGGCGCCGAGGCGGCGCCGGGGCGGAAGGGCGGGCCGAGGGGCGCTGCGCCGCCGACGCCGCCGCCATACCAGGGTCCCGTGGGGGGCAGGAGGCCCCAGGCCGAGGGTCTCAGCTCCCAGGGCCCCGCGGGGGGCGCGAAGGGCGGCGGGGGAGCGAAGGGCGGCGGGGCGGCCCAGGGCCTCACCATGTCCGGCCGGGTGGGGGTCAGGCGGCCCGACGGGTAGGGGGGGCCCAGCAGGCCCGGCGAGTGGGCGCGCGACGGCGCTCGGCTGGACTCCGTCTGTTCCTTCCACAGCACCACGCGGCTCTGCAGCAGCCCCTGGGCCTGGGCGGGGACGGGGGACGCGGGGTCAGCCACGCGGGGGTGGGGGTGTCTCCCTTCTGGCTCCCCACCCTGGGGGTGACCGCCAGCCCCCTCCGGCACCCCAGTACCCTGACGCTACACGGGGATGTCAGACACCCCAAATCCAAGAACCCAGCCCCGGTTCTCGGCCCTGGAACTCTCCAGAACTGTCTTTTGCTCTCGGGGGAGAGTTATTTTATGGGCCAAGCCGACACCCCTGGAATAATCAAGCCTGTTTTCAACTTTTCTTCTCTCTGTCCACCTGCCTCCGCTTAAGCAGGGCTCAGCTGCGGAGAGTTAAAGCAAGCGGGGCTGGAGCCATGGCCCAGCGGGGAGGCACGGGTCTTGCACGCGGGGGACCTGGGTTCAATCCCCGGCACTCCCTATCGAAGCCCCAACCCGCTAGAAGTGATCCCTGAGCACCGCAGGGTGCCACCCAGAAACAAAAGAAAAATTAAAAGTTCCAGCAGAGCTGGGCGGTCGGCAGACAGCAGGTGGACGCTGGCTTGCCAACTCATGTTCGATCCCCAGTTCCACGAAGGGCCCCCAGAGCCTCTGGGAGTGGCCCCTGAGCACAGGGCCGAAGTACGCCTTAAGCATAGCCAGGTGTGACAATAAAACAGGTTCCCAAAGTTAATAAAGTGGCCGTTCCTGGGGCAGGGCTCTGTGTTGTGGGAGGTCACCGGGCACGGCTCAAAGCCAGAAGCGTAAAAAAAAAAAAAAAAAAAAGGTCTCTCCCCAACCGATCCGATCCTCCCCATGGAAACCAGTGCTCCTCGGTGGCGCTGCGGCCAGCTCCGTAACCATACCCCTTTGCCTGGCGCCGGCCGTGGTGCTGTCCCTTGGTCACCCCTATCAATTATTTCTCAGGTACAACCCAAATACAGCTTTCCTCTGCGTGGGCCGCTCCCCACCGCACCCCAGGACTGAAGAAAGGCCCCCCCTGCCGTGTTCACCACGGTACCCCCCACTCTGTTCTGCTGTTTCGTTTGGGGGGTCACATCGGGGCTTCCTCCTGGCTCTGCACTGCGGGGGGCCTTGGGGGACCATAGATGCTGGGGATCCGAGCAGGGTTCACTGCGTCTTCAGCCCCTGGACCATCTTCATCCGGCCCTGCCTGCACTATCTTACTGGAATCTTTCGAGAGACTGTCTGCGTTAGACCATCTGCATTATAGGAGTCAGAGCAGGTCATGGGGTTGGTGGGGAGGGCATTTGCCTGGCACGCGGCAGACCCGGGTTTGATCGTTGGGTGTGATCCCACATTAGTCCCGGAAGTACTGTCAGGAGTAATTCCTGAGTGCAAAGCCAGGAGTAAGCCCCAGAGGGGGCTGAAGAAATAGTACAGCGAGTAGGGTGGTTGCCTTGCACGCAGCTGACCCCTGTTGGATCCCCCAGCATCTTGTGTGGCCCCCCAAGCACCACTGCCAAGAGTAGTTCCTGAGTGCAGGGACAGGAGTAACCCCTGTGCATCACCGGGTGTGACCCCCCAAAAAAAAAACCCAAACTCAGATCTGGATCATTTGCAGGGAGAGGGAGCCAGTAACCTCTGAGCAACGCCAAGCAGGTCTGGCCCAAACAACAACCAAAAGAAATAAGCTGGGGGTGCTCGAGTGATTAGCACAGCGGGGAGGGCGTTTGCCTTGCCCGCAGCTGACCCAGGTTCAATCCCCGGCATCCCATAGGGTCCCCCAAGCACTGCCTGAGTGCAGACCAGAGAGTAACTCCTGAGCATCGCTGGGTGTGACCCAAAAAGAAACGAAATAAGCTGCTGATCCAAAGGCCAGCTCGGAAGAGTCCGGGTGTCTGCTGGCCGGTGGGGGGTTGGGGGGTCTACGGGGTCGGGCGAAAAGCTCCAGCTTCCGCCTGGGAATAAAGGAGCGCGCGGTCCGCGGGATGGAAAATGACGCTGGCGATGGGCACCAACGGATCAGGCAGGCTGCAGGGGCAGGGAGGAGCGGCGGAGGGAGGAAATGCCCCCCGCCCCCAGCCCTGCCCAGCGCGCCCCCTCACCCTGCCGAAGTACTGCAGGTAGGAGTTGGCGAGGACCAGGTGCTTCTCGGCCAGGAAGCGGTAGCGCCGCTTCTCCTCCAGCTCGGCCGCCCGCTGGCTCGAGGACATGAAGTCCTGCATCTGCGCGTTCAGCCGGTTCACGTTCTCCTGCGCGGACGGGGGTTCTGGCTGCGGGTGGACACTCGGGACCCTCCATCCCCGCCCCCTCCCTACCCAGCGCCTCCTCCCGGCGGCACCCTCCCCCTCCCCCCGTGGCTCCCAATCCAGTCCCCCGCGGTCCTGCCGGGCAGGGCTGGCGCCTGAGTCCCTTCTGCTCCCCCGCCCGGTCCAGTCCAGCCGGGGAGGCCGGTTAGTGGGTCAGCACAGGGGCAGTGAGGGGAGCCGCGCTCGCAAGGCGCTGGAGCGGGGCGGGGGGCTCAGGCGCGGGACGGGTGCGTGGGGCTTGGGCACGGGACGGGGGGTCGCTCAGGCACGGGTCCAGGAATATGGGGGGGACTCAGGTGCCAGTGGGGGACTCAGGCGCAGGACGGGTGTCGCTTAGGCGCGGGTGCAGGAACCTGAGGGTTCTCAGGTGCGGGAGGGGGGCTCAGGCGCGGGTCCAGGAATCTAGGGGGCTCAGGCGCGGGATGGGGGGGTGGGGGGCTCAGGCATGGGATAAGGGGGTTGGAGGAGGCTCAGGCGCGGGTCCAGGGAGCCGGGGGTGTTCAGGTGTGTATCCAGGGGGCGGGGGGATCAGGTGCGGGGGGCGGTGGAGGGGGCTCAGGCACGGGTCGGGGGGACTGTGGGGGGCTCAGGCGCGGGCCCGGGGACGGGGGCGGGGTCTCAGGCGCGGGCCCGGGGGCTGGGGGGGCCTCAGGCGCGGGCCCGGGGGCTGGGGGTCTCAGGCGCAGACCCGAGGTCTTGGGGGTCTCAGGCTCGGGCCCGGGGGGGGTGGTCTCGGGCCCCCAGGCCGCCGCGCGCCCCGCACCTTCATCTCACGGACGTTCTTGTCCCGCTTGCGCTCCAGGCGCCACAGGTCGGACTTGCACTTCTCCAGGCTGGCCACACGGTGGCGGTACTCCAGCTCGTAGTGCTGGCGGCTGTCCTGGTGGGCAGGGGGCGGCGGGGAGAGCGGGTCAGAGGGGCGCGGACGCCCAGCCCGCGGGGCTCCGCTGGGCACGGCGTGGGCCTCAGCGTGCCCGTCTGTGCCATGCGGCGAGGCCGCTCCCGTCTGTACGGGCTCACCTTGATGTACTGCATGTCCAGCTTGCTGTTCTTCTCCATGTGCTGCAGCAGGTCGCTGTGGAATTTTTGCACCTGTGTGGGGAGCAGGACCGGGCGTCAGGGCGACCCCCGTCATCCCCGGGACTCTGCACCCTCCCAACGCCCCTGGAAATCGCTGCCCTGCACCCCACACCCCCGCCTCCCTCACCGTGCAGGCTCAATCACCAGAGAAATAGATATAATAAAGCCGCCGCAATATGAAATGATGGAAAAAACTTTGACCGTGGGTTGTAAAACTAAGATTGCCAAGCAGGGAGGGCTGCGCAGGATGGGGTGAGGCACTGAAGTGAACCAAGAGGAGGACTAGAAGCAACACAGGAATACTTGCACGCTTCGCGGAGATGCAGTACCACACTGCCTAAACTATAATAATGGCAATAGTATTAAAAAGTCAGAAATAAAAGGGAAGCTTCCTGCTAAAAAAAAAAATTAAAATAGGGGGCTGGAGCAATAGCACGGCGGGGAGGGCGTTTGCTTTGCATGCAGCCGACCCGGGTTCGATCCCCGGCACCCCATAGGGTCCCCTGAGCACCACCAGGGGTAATTCCTGAGTGCAGAGGCAGGAGTAACCCCTGTGCATCGCCGGGTGTGACCCACAAAGCAAAATAATAATAAGTAAAGTAAAGTAAAGGCCCTCCCGTTGATCATCGATTTGCTCGAGCGGGCCCAGTAACGTCTCCATCGTGAGACTTGTTGTTACTGTGTTTGGCATATCGAATACGTCACGGGGAGCTTGCCAGGCTCTGCCATGCGGGCGAGATACTCTCGGTAGCTTGCCGGGCTCTCCGAGAGGGGCAGAGGAATCGAACTCGGGTCGGCCATGTTGGCTGCATGCAAGGCAAACGCCCTACCACTGTGCTATCGCTCCCGTCTCCCATGAGAGGGAGACTAAAACACTCCAACAGGGGTCCAAACAAAGAAAGCAATGAAACAAAAATCCAAACATAAACCATCATATGTAACTCACAGAGAAGTCAGACAGTAGGTCAGGCACTTGTATGGCATGTGGCTGACCTGGGCTCAACCCCAGCACCTCATATGGTCCCTCAGTAATGCCCAGAGTAAGCCCTGAGCAGCAAGTCAGGAGTAAACCCTGAGCCCTGAGTCAGGAATAACCCCTGAGCACCGAGTCAGGAGTAAGCCTTGGGCACTATCAGCAATGCCAGGCATGGCGCCACCGAAAGCAAAAGAAAAACTAAAAAAAATCCCACGCCAACTGCGTCAGCTCCATCTGGGTCCTGCCTATTGCCTGCCCTTGGGTGTGTCTGGAGTTTCCGACCCGTTTTCAAACACCAGCCGCGCCACCCTTGGCCTGGTCGCGCCCTCACTCCACGGGCAGAGTTCGACCTTCCTCGTGCGGTTTCTGGAATGTGGGCACTGGAGCACCCGCCCCAGCGGGGGTCAGTCACCGTCCCCCGGGGTAAGCTCCTCTGTCAGAGAGATCTGACCCATCTCTCTGCGCCTGGAACCCCCACAAGTGTGTCTCTCCCCCCCAGGATAGACCCAGATTCCTGGAAAACACCGAGCACTGCGAGATGAGTTATTACGGAAACACTGAAGAATAATAAACTAGGGAAAGTGAAGAGATAGGACAGCAGGGAGGACTTTCACCTTGTCCATGGCCAACCTGAGTTCCATCCTGGCACCCCAGATGGTCCCCAGAGCCCTCCAGGAGAGAGCCCTGAGCACAGAGCCAGGAATCAGCCCTGAGCACAGAGTCAGGAGTCAGCCCTGAGCACAGAGCCAGGAGTCCACCCTGAGCACAGAGCCAGGAGTCTGCCATGAGCACAGAGCCAGGAGTCCGCCCTGAGCACAGAACCAGGAGTCAGCCCTGGGCACTGCCGAGAACAGCCCCAAACCAAACCAGAAAACAGATGAACTGGGCCAGCCAAAGAAGCAGTACAAGGGAAAGGCGCTTGTGGCAGAAATCAAGGCAGGTTCAATCCCTGGCACCGTAGAGGGTCCCCCAAGTCCTTCCAGGAGTGACCCCTGAATGCAGAGAGAGAGCGCTAATCTGAAAGCACTGCCAGGTAGGGCCCTAAAAACAAAAGAACAGTCTGGAAGGGGGCACCAGAGCGATAGGACAGCAGGGAGCATTTGGCCTTGCACATTCCAGACCCGGGTTCGATCCCCGGCATCCCACAGGGTTCCCTGAGCACCAGCAGGAGTAATTCCTGAGTGCAGAGCCAGGAGGAACCCCAGGGCATCGCCAGTGTGACCCCCAAAAATACAAAGTCTGGAAGGAATTGTCTCTGCAGGTGACCCCAACTCGTCTGCTCCCCTTTGCTCCTGAGCCCCTGTACCCGGACACCCCAAGACGTAGAGCCAGGGTGGGTGCTGGAGCCCAGGGTGGAGACTCGACCCACCCTCCCGGTGTCTTGGCTCCCCGCGATCCCCATCTCCCCCCAGCATTCCTGGCAGCTGCCGGGGTTCTGTAAGCCCTCTCTGAACCCATTCCCTGGGGGTCCTCTCCCAAGTCCAGACTCACCCCCACACTCCAGTCTCCTACCCTCGGCCAACCAGCCACACCTCTGCGGCTTTTCTTTCTTTTCTTTGTTTTAGGACCACACTCCACAGTGCTCAGGGCTGACTCTGGCCTCTGTGCTCAGGGATCACTCCTAGCAGGGTCGAAGGGCCGCATGGGATGATGCCGGGGATCGAACCCAGGACGGCCACGTGCACGGCAAATGCCCCCCACCCCCGCTGTAATATTGCTCCAGCCCTTGCAATGAATTTTCTGACCATCCCTTCCCACTTTGCCTGTCCACAGCGGACCTGCAATCTCTCCCTCGCTCCAAATAGACCCACAACCTGTTGCTGTCACCTCTAGGGTAACGCCCCCTTTCCAGCCAGTTGGGGGAAATAGCCTAGTTTCACCTGGGCATCACCTCGGTGTCACGTGGGCTTTGTGCTTTCTTTTTGCAATTGAAATCCAAGCCCAAGGGGTCCTACAGGAACAAAAGCCACGCCCTGGACAACTGGAAAACCAGGTTGTCACTCATAAAATATTTTTTTTTAATTTTTTTTTTGGGGGGGGTCACACCTGGCAATGCTCAGGGGTTCCTCCTGGCTCTTGCACTCAGGAATTACTCGTGGCAGTGCTCGGGGGACTATATGGGATGCTGGGGATCGAACCCGGGTTGGCCGTGTACAAGGCAAACGCCCTCCCCACTGTACTATCGATCTGGCCCCGTCACTCAGAAAATAAAACCGAATAAAATACCATTGACAGTGGCTTCCCCCAAATCACAGGGAGGAGTCTTATCCAAAGACCATCACAGAGCGGAAGGAAAGTGAGAGGTACCGTGTTCGTGGATCAGAAGACCCCACATATGACCAGGACGCGCGTCGGTTCAGAGATTTGTACAGTTCCTCCCTCAACCTCACTCTTGGTTTTTGTTTTATGGGGTCACATCAGCAATGCCCAGAGGCTACTCCAGCTCCTCCATGCTCAGAGATGCTCTCACTGGTGCTCAGGG